CCGCGCGCCTGTGCGTAGGTGTCTACCGCGTGCCACTCCACCAGCTCGCAGAACTGGTAGGCGTTCTTGGGGGCCAGCATGTAGAAGCCTGGGGGGGGGGGGCGAGCAGGGGGATCAGGTGAGTGTGGGAGGTGTCGAGGGGGTGGAGGTGGGAGGGGGGCCGGCTGGTTGGGCCATGTCGCGCAGCCTTCCAAAAGGGGAAAGCGGAGCTGGGGTCAGCAAACCAGGATTGGCGACGGAGCGCCGCGGCGCCCCAGCGCCCCCGCCAACCAGACGCCTTCGGCTGCGCCGCAGCGCGCGGGTGCCGGCGCCCTGCGCCGCGTCGCGCTCATAATTCAGCGGCAAGACACAGACCCAAGGGGGCCCTGGTGGGCATTCGCCCTCTGCACGCGCCCCGTGCAGAGCGCCGCATGCAGGGCGCCCCATGCAGGGCGCAGCATGCAGGGCGCCCCATGCGTGCGTGCTGTGCAGCGCCTCACCCGTGCAGACCCAGTAGTAGGCCAGAGCAGCGTGCTCCGCCACGAAGCGGTCAAACCACAGCAGGTCGCCGCCAAGAGACTCCATGATCTGGGGGAGTGGGGGGGCCGCCAATCGATATTGTGTGCGCGTGTGTATGCCAACCTACACGTCAACGCACATATACACAAACACACACATGTACATACACGACCATGTACATGTACTGATACATGTGTAACAAGGGATGTGTCAGGATGTCGAAAGCCACGGGTGCTCAAGGGTGGCGAGGCCGATGTGCGCATGCAGGCCGTGCACGCAGAGCGCCGCTGGCATGCCCCGCCCCTGCCGGTGGTGCGCGGGCGGCGACGGATGACGTCACGATGACGTCACCCCGTACCTGCAGGTGGTGCAGCTCGTTCCACTCCTCAGCAAAGTGCACCTTGCGCAGCTCAGCGCCCGCGCGCCAGAAGCCCAGGGACTCTGCGGCGCCGGCCGGGGCGACGGGGTGTGAGAAGGGGGGTTGTGGAGGTGGATGGGGCGGGAGATGGCAGGGCAAAGGACGGCAGGGTAATTTAGGTAGAGGAACACGGCGGGCGCGGCCAGATGAGAGGGACGGTGGGCGGCTTGGGGGCTCCTATGAAGATCACAAGCCCCAGTCCGACAGACACATGATGCGTGAACAGGATTGCAGCTTATAAGGGCACGCATGCATATGCCACACACACACACACACACACACACACACACACACACACACACACACACATTCCTCCACACAACGAGCAGCCCTCACGGCCTCCCACCATAAAAGTGCAGCAGGCTGATGGCGCTGAAGTAGGGGATGCGGGCCACAGTCTCCAGCACCCAGAAGCGCTGCAGCACAGGAAATGACATCACAATGCAACAATTCGGGTCAAGAAAGCACAGGGACTACACCGCGGGGCCAGGGCCTGCGCGCATGTTGGCTGGCTGGCAGTGTATCACGGGGACAAACTTGCGGGCCGAAGGCCCTCGGCGATTCGGCCGCACCTGGATGGGCCTGTTTGCAAAGAGCAGGTCCAGCACGACGCACAGCCCCCAGAAGGGGGCCTTGATCCACCAGGGGGCGGGGACCTGCCGGGGTGGCAAACGTGGGGCCAGGCCAGTTTAATGTGGTGGGACGGAAGGGGGGTAAGGCTGGCGCTCATGGGGGGCTCGCGCCCTGCGCAGGGTGCTGAGCCTGCCGCGCCCTGCCCTTGCCGCCGTGCCCTGCTGTAAAAATCAAGCGGGTGCCACAGCACGTTCAAGGGCCAGGTCGGCCGCCGTCGGCTGGGGACACAAACTGCTGACAGTCACACACACACACACACACACACACACACACACTCACGCACGCACAGAGGCACACATCCGCACACAAACACAAACATGCGTGCACCCACACACTCACATATGCACGCCTGCATGCTTTTGTGTGACGCTCACCACCCCCACTCCGCGGGCCTTGCGCTCCTCCTCCCTGGCCCACACCGTGGCGTCATCCAACTTCAGCTGCGCAAGGTTGGCGCGAATCTGGGGGTTGAGGGGGGATGGTCGCAGAGGGGCAGGGCGGGCGAGTGGCGTGGGGAAAGGGGGGAGGTGCAGCAGCTGGCCGCACGAGGTGTGCGGGTTCCTCGGCATCAGCAGAGGCGGCGAGACGCAAGCATGACTGCCTGCCGCGGCCCGGCCGCACGCCGCCGGCCCGCTAAAACCAACTGCCGCTTCCTCGGGTGACACACGCGCACACGCACGGGGACGCGCGCGCGCCGCGCACCTCCTTGCACTCCTCGGACATCCCTCCGTCTGCCCCTGCCATCGCCGCGTCCACCTGGGGCCGCTCCAGCTTTGGCAGCAGCCTGTTGCCCTCCAGCCACGAGTCCAGCGACCCCAGGCCCCGCACCACAGCGCCGCCCGCGCTGCTCAGGACCTGCCGGCGGCCAATGGGTTGGTGGTAGGTTCTGAGGCACCACCCGCACACGCAGTGCAAGTTGGCAGGGGACGGGGCATTGCAGGCAAGAGCGCGCCCGCGCCGCGCCGCACCGGGGTGCTAGAGGGCACGTGGCAAGCCGACACAACGGGCCCGCGCACACACCGGCCCCAGCGCGTGCTTGCTCACATGTGCTGCGTCGACCAACGCCCTCTGCGCGGCCCTGTGCCCGTCCAGGCCCCCTTTGTGAACACAACACACACGCACACGCGCACACACAGACACACATACACACACACGTGTGAGTGTGTGCATGCGTCCAATGCCCACCTTTGCAAGGGGCCCCGTGGATGCAGAGAGCATGGGGTCGTACTCGTTGAACCTGAAGGAGCTGCGGAGGGCTGACAGCTCGTGCTTGAAGTTCGCAGTGGCCTGAGACAGGATCAGGCGTGACAAGGTGGGGGCCGGGCGCGGGGGGCGATGAGCCACAGGCCTAGCAAGCCAAGGGATGGCCAAAGGCCGAGTGTCGGCTGACGCGGTCTGAGTGATCAGACGAGGGGGAACGGGTGGCGGCGGGGAACAGAAGGGCGGCAGGGGTGGCGCAGCGGCTTGGGGGAGGAAGGGCGCCGCCCGCTGCCCCGCGCGCAGCGGGGCCCCCGCGTGCCGGCTCGAGAGGGATCGGCCGCCAACACTCGCTGGAGAGGCTGCAGCGCACAGATTCACCGCATGCTCCAGCAAACCCACCATGCCATCACCTGACTGAGCTTTGTACTCACCCCTCCCCCATCCTCGCATGCACGCAGATGCAAGCCGTCCCCTTACTACTCATGATGCATCGCCTGTGAGCCGCGCCCACCATGTCTAGGATGCCGCCGGGCACCTCCCCGTATCGGTCCTGGTACAGCCGCCCCGCGCCCGCGCGGAAGCCGTAGTCGCAGCACATGCAGCGGATGAGGTTGCCCTCCCGGTCGACGAAGAGCTTGCATGTGTCGCTCGGGTCCGACAGGTCGCCAGCAAAGGGCGGCTCGGCGCTGCAGGCGGTCGGCGGCGGGGACAGGTGGGGGAAGCCGGTCGGCGGTGTGGCGGGCGCGGGTGCGGCAGGTGGGGTGCCAGGTAGGGTTGCCGCGCAGGGCGCGCGCGCATGCAGCGGCCGCGCGGCGATGCGGGGGCTTCACCTGGGGATGCGCTCCGGGGCGGCAACCCTCAGCGGCCGGACTGCCGCCGCGCCGCGGCGCCGCCTGCATGGGGTGCGTGTCGTGTTTGGTTGTGTGAGCGCGGGCATGTGCCGGCGCGCGGCCACGAAGCTCCCGGATGCCATCAAGGTGGTACTCACCGCACAGAAACGGACGGCCTAGCCACCCTTGAACCATTGAAAGCGGCGGACTGCATGGCTCCAGATAGAATCTCGTCGTTCGACCGATCTCGCTGCTGTCGCTGGGCACCGGAAAACGACCCTTCAGACAGTCCGAGATGTAAGTAAGGCGCCTGTAAACGTACCGCGATAAGTGGGGGATTGAGAGGCAAGGGAGGGGTTGTTGCCGCCAGGTTGCCGCCCACTTCACCACTCGTCACCTCCTGCGCATGAGACAGCCCAGCCGACTGGTTTTCATGCTGGCCACCACTTGCGCATCCCAAGCTGCCTGTCCGGGCTCCGATCCAAGCCTTCAACTCATTCAGTTACACATATTTGCCGAGTGGCAGCTAAGGTCCCGCAAAAAGGCACCAGCTGGCCCGCGGGGGCGGCAGTTGGGTGCTGAGTGCAAGAAGGCCCCGCGTGGGAAACGCGGAGCAGCAGCAACCAAGTGGCTGCAGACCTCATGACCATTACGGAGCGTGGTGAGCGTTGAGCGACAAACGGTCATGGGTTGCCAGCAGCCCCCGGGCGGCTGCGTGAGCCAGGAATTTCCTGGCGTGAACCCCAGTACACCAGTTAGGAGGCAAAGCGCTAACCAGTCAACAGGCCGTGTGCAGGGGCTCCCATCGCACGCTACGATGACACAGCGCAGCGTGCACGGTGAGGGCGGGGAAGGCGCATGCTGCGCCGCCAGGCCGAGCACCTGGGAGAGGTTCTCTCTCTCTCTCTTTCAAATGGGATTTGAAATCTTCGCAATCGAGGCGGGAAAACGGGATGAGATAAGGATACAGAGCTCTGAGCAGGACGCCAACCGTCCATAGCCGATACCAACTATACTGTACAATAGAGACCAACCATTGGCAGAGCATGCGCACAAACACGCGCGCGTGTGCAAGCTGCGGCGTGGCGGTAGCTGCCAGCGGGCTGCTGGCCGGCAGGCCCGGGCAAGCGTGGAGGCGCAAAATAGGCAGGGCGTCCAACGCGGGCGCCGCGCCTGCGCGCGCCCCCTACTCGGCCCCCGGCGGCGCCGGCGGCGGCATCATGGGCAGCGAGTCGACCGGCTGCACGCTGTCGACCATCCAGCAGCCGGAGAACGGGCCGCCCTCGCCCTGCCGCGACAGCACCCACAGATACGTCAGCCCTGGCTTGGGCGCCGCCGCGCCGCCGCCGCCGCGCCTGCCCCTGCTGGCAGCGCGTTCTGCAGCCTCCTGCCGCATGCGCGCGCCAAGCGCGCCGCCGGGGTGCACACGCACAAGCTCCATGTACACCGCCGGCGACGGCTGCATGCGCTGCAGCGTCTCCGAGCCCTCGTGGCCCAGCAGCGGCGCGTAGGCCGGCGACTGCAGCAGGCGCGCAAACTGCTGGACGGGCCCCGTCGCCTCCTTGTTGGCGGGGCTTGCGTGGGCGAAGACGCCCACGTACGAGTGCTCCCGCAGCGCCGCGAGCTGCGCCTGCAGGACCAGCTCGGGCGCGTGCGACGGGGAGGGGTGCGCCGGCAGCGGCGCGGCGTCGCCGCCGGCGGCGTCGCTCTCGCCGCGGACGGAGCGGAGCATCCACCGCTTGCGCACCAGCGGGGGCCCGCGGTACCTGTCCAGTGGGAGAGGGGCCGGTATTTATGTGACATTTTGAGCAGGCCTAAGCAGCACCGGTCAACCGATGAGAAGCCAGGTTGCAATGAGCTGGGAGCAGCGAATAACATCAGGACGCGCCACGCTTCACAGCCTTGAGCGCCGTGGTTACCATCGGCTGACACACCGTGTAGCCGGTGTGCCAGCCACACAGCCGCCTGTTCGGCCAGGCTCTAGAGCCGGAGCCCACTAACAGCTGGCCAGCCCGCTCACTGGTTCTCGAGGCACTCCTGTTGCAGCATCTCGAACGACAGCACCGCCTCCTCCCCGCTCTCCGCCACCACCGCGCAGCGCTGCAGGTAGCGGTCGTGCGACACGCGGACCGCCGACAGCAGCTTGAGGCTGCGCGGGACGCCGTGCGCGAGGTGGCGGATCGCGAACGAGTCGAGGTAGAGGTGGGGCGCCGCGTTGGCCTGCAGGACGTCGGTGAAGCGCAGCCACGCGGGGTCGCCGCCGCCGGCGCAGCGGCGCATCTCGATGACCCGGTCAATGACTGAGGGGGGCGGCAGGTTTGTGAAAAAAGAGGGCGAGGGCGGCGAGGGCGGCGAGGGCGGCGTCAGCGTTGGGGCAGGGCTCGCACGCCGGTCAGCAGGTGTCTGAGCGGTTGCGTCCTTGCGGCTGCCGCCCTGGCTGCTGTGGCAACTGCTTATGAAGTTTGCAGCTGCAGCCACAGCGCAGGCGTCGCAGCGGGGAGTTCCCAGCTGGCAGCGATGGGCTGTGGCAAATGCAGACCGGCGGGACCGGCCACCTGTGCCTCCCTGCCTCACCCTCGTCAGGCACGAATTCCAGCAATGAGTCGAGGTCGCCGGCCTCGATGTGGCCGATGCAGGTGGCCAGGGCGGCGGCGGGGTCCTACAGGCGCATGTGCATGTTGAGCGGGAAGGCCTCAGTGCAAAAGCAGCCGCCATGTGCAGCCAGCAATGCGTGGCGACGCACCGGGCGGCGCTTGAACCGGCTGGCGGCCTGGCCGTTTTGCAAGCGGGGTCCAATCACATGTGTGCGTGGCTTTACTGCTAGTGCATAGGCGCGTTGGTGGTTGCGGTGAGGCTGGACCCAGCCTGCGCAAAAGCACATGATCCATCACATGCCTGCAGTTCCTGCTGGTGCGCTGAACCACCCCGTGCTACGCAAGGGCCAGGCCCCCTCGCGCGCCACGGACGGATGCGCACCTCGCCAGCATCCTGTTTGCCCGCCGCTGACCACTCAGAGTACTCGGGTGACGAGCGCGCCGGTGTCAGGCGGGCGCCGCGCGCGGCTGGTCTCTGCCGAGCGAGGTGTGCACAATGCAGCCGTGCAGCACAGCCGCTTGCGCGCCTCGCTGCCGCCGTCGCTGCCGCACTGCGGCTGCCTGAGACGAAGACGAAAGCCATCCTGGCGCACAGCTTAGTGTATACGCGCGCAGGAAAGGCCCTTGGAGCCCTGAACGTGAGGTGCCGCGACGGAGTGCGTCAGGGCCGGCAAATATGCCGTACCCTCGTGTGGACCAAGTCTAATGCTATGTAGAGCGCAACTAATCAACGTTCCTGCTCACACGTGAGGGTTGCCTAGAGGCCCCGCTGGCGGAGCGGAACCGAGCCCGACCGTGTGAACGCAAACCGAGCAACGTGCTCTTTCTTTTGACGTTTGATCGGACAGCGAGCGAAGCAGCTTGAGGGTCAACGTGGAAGCTTTGCAGGCTGGGCTGGGGCGTGCGAAAGCCACCCATCCATGTGCATCACATGTGACCCATGTGCCGACAAGCCAAGGCTGGCCGTCCTCCACATGGCCTGCTCCTGCTGCAGCACCCCTTCATACTGCCGGGCCTCCCTTAACTGTCTGCCTCCCTTAACCGCCTGCCCCTGCCGATACATGCACTGTGAATGCCTGGACGGCAATCCAGCCTGGATGGGGGTTACCCTGCCATACCGACGACAGCGCCCGCGCGCCGCGCGCTGCCGCTGCATGCCCTTGTTGCGCCTCAGCCCGTCTGCATCGGCGCCGGGTCCGCGGCGTCGATCTGCGCCTGCGTCGCGGGGCGCGCCCAGCACTTGAGCTGGCCGCCGTAGCAGGCGGTGAAGATGGCCTCGTCCGTGAAGAGCACGTCCGACAGCGGCTCGCAGTGCAGCCTGCGCGTGGAAGCCGTTGTTTGGCATGATCAGCGCAGTATCTTCGGGATGCGAGGGCGGTCTGTTTATGCATGCCGTGGCATGCGCTTACAGAGCGCATAGCTCAAATGCATTTGCGGGGGGGTCTGCTGGCACGGCCCAAGGTACCCCAAGAGGGCAGTATTTCAGGTGCCTAGCGCCTGGGGTGCCCACTTGTGCTGCATGATGGGAGGAATGATGGTCATCTCTGACCGCGGGACCGACGGGCAGATCGGGTTGGGCGGCACCAACAGCCCGTTGCCGGCCCCGTGGTGGCCGCCGGGATGCTTGCCCAGCAGCGCCAGCAGGTTTGCGCTGCCGTGCCGCGCCATAGACGCGCCCCCGCCGCCGCCGTCGGGCGTGCCCGGCCGCGGCTGCTGGAGTTGCTGCTGCTGCTGCTGCTGCTGGTGGTGCTGATGGTGAAAGTGTGACCCGTGGTGCGGGGGCTGCGGCGACGGCGATGGCGACGGCGACGGCGACGGCGATGGCGGCGGCAGCGGCGGATGGTGGTGGTTGCCCCCGCTGCAGCTGGAGGCAGCCGGCGGCGGCGACGGCGCCGCGCCTGCGCCTGGGGCGGCAGCCGTGTCGGCCTGCGAGAGCGCTGCCAAGTTTGCGCCGCTGCTGACCTTTGGGATGGGCACGTGCGAGGAGCTCGCGACGCGCCTTACAAAGAGGCAGCGACGAGGGGCGCAGCGGTGGGGTCGTGTCAGATGTGTTGCAGTGCAGAGGCTTTGTGAGCGGCTGCCGTCCGCCCCGCCGGACGGCCTCGGCTGGCCCGTGGCCGCGTCTGCCTGGCCGCCTGCCAATGCTGCCGCCGCGGCTCGCGGGCCCGACGGCTACCCGCGCGCCCGCCCAGCCCTTGATCTGCCCCCCTGCGCAGCGCCCCTGCTCGGCGGCCCCCATCGGCGCCCCTCACACCCTTCCCCCTTGTCTCACTTGATGCCCGTCTGCCCCGTCTGCTGGTTGACCGCAGCCGGGTCCTCCTCCAGCACCAGGTCCCACAGGCACAGCGCCGTGTCCTGCCCCGCGCTGCCCAACCGGTACGTCCGCTCCACCAGCGCCGGCCCCGCGCCGCCCGCGCTGGACGCGCCGCCGCCGCTGAGGCCGGCTGCGGCGGAGGCGGCCTCCTTGCCCTCGGTGCAGGCCCAGGGGTCGAACGCGACGCGGCCCACGAAGCTGCCGTGGCCTTCGCCAAACGCAACCACCTGGGGCGCGGCGGGAAAGGGGCGCAGCAAGGGGCGAGCGATGGGGCGCCGGCGGGCTCCACAATCAGGCGCAGTGCACAAAGCAGCCGTGGTGTGCCGACGCCCACCCACTCGTGGCAATCGGCCAGGCGCCCCGGCTGCATGCGAGCCGTCGCCACGTCAGCCTTGTACGCACAAGAATGAAATTGCCAACCGCACACGACCGCGCGATGTGTGAGGGAAGCATCATGCGTGCATCAACCTCGCAAGCGCAGTTCATCGGCACGCACGCGCGTGCGCGCCCCACCCTCGCCCCGCCCACCTGTTTGTCGGGCACGCTGTACATCGCCACCAGGTCGTCCTCGCCCCCGGACGCCACGAACCGCCCATCGGGCGACCAGCAGACGCACAGCGCCGCCCCGTAATACGAGCGGTACCCCGCCACGCACTGCCCGCTCGGCCAGTCCAGCAGCCGCACGGACCCGTCGCGGCAGGCAGCTGCCAGGCGGTTGCCGTCCGGATTGAAGGCAACGTCGTTTACGCCGCCGCAGCCGGGGACGGCGACGGTCTGGCAGGGGTTGTGGGCGCTCTGGCGCGATGACGTCAGCGACGACATCGAGAGAAGCTTCCCGGAGCCCTCGCCCAGCATGACGGCGCTCTTGTGGGGTGGCGTCGGGGGAGGACGCGTACGGGCGGTGTGGGGCCAGGAGACCACGGGCGCAACGGGGTTGCGACTGCAGTCGTACGTACCCCAAGCCGGCCTGATATAAATGGATTATGGGCAACCGCCCCGGCCTCGCCTCACCTTTTTGTAAACCAGGATGTTGCCGCTCGAGTGCGCCACCAAGAACTGCGCGCCGCCCGACCGCGGCACCCAGGCGACTGCGCAGCAGCGGCTGCCGTCGTGCACGCCGCTCTCGTTGAGCGTCGCGGCTATCACCGGTTTGCTCGAGCCCGCCGCCTGCTGCAGCTGCGCACGCAGAGACATGAGGTGCACTGCGCGGCGCGTGGCGAATCGTGGCAGGCCAGGCCAGGGCAACTTGGTCAGGCGGGCCGGCTGGCGCACCGCAATGGCAGCTGACTCCGCAGGCAGCTGCCAGCTGCCAATGCGCAGCCGCCCCCGCCAAGAGCGTCCACCTCAATCAGCGGCCGCTGCTCCCACTGGGCACTCGCCGCCCCGCGGTCGCGCCGCCCTGCCACCGGTGCCCCTACCCCTAGCAGCCCGTCGTGCGACCAAGGCCCTGCAGCTGCTCCGAAGCCCCGCATCCCTCCAAACCCCCCAGCCGTGCCGCCGGCCCCGCTGCCGGGGACCACACCGCAGGCGCAACCCGCGCACCCTCGCCGTTGGCGATGCCAACCAGCAGGTCGTGGCCGTCCCGGGACTCCATAAACGCGTGCACGCGTGGGTAGCCGTCGCGTATCGAGGTCGGGTTGAAAACGAGGGACCGCAGCGGATCCTGCGTGCGGAGCCAGCGCATGCGCGCGCACAAGGACAGCAGCGGAGGAGGTTGGTGGCGGCGGCCGGCGTGCGGCAAAGGCGACGAGCCCCAGGTTTGTCTGAGAGGACCCTGGCCGCCTGTGCAGCGGGGGTGCTGAGTGCGCGTCGGCCGCACGGCGCGCCGACGGCCGCTGCAGTTTGCCGGGGTGGGCAGGTGACAGCCGCGTGGGGGCAGCGCCCACCGCCTGCACGCTCGCGACAGAGCGCTTCATGCTATTGATGCTGCCGAGCCCGGCCGTCTCACCTTCTCCGTGCCGTCATAGGGGCAGATGTGCAGCTGCTCCCCCACGTTGAAGACCATGTACTGCCCGCCCTCCGCGCCCCCTCTGAGCGCCGCGACCGTCAACCGCGTCGCGCGCCCGTTGGCAAAGGGCACCAGCCCTGCCGTGCGCTCCGACCACAGCAAGTAGCGCCCCTCGCTGGTCTTGAAGTGCGTCTTCGTCGGCGGCTTGTCCATGGCTGCTGCGGTGGCGGCGCCGGGCGCGGCGCCAGCTCGAGCCCTGTTGGCGCGAGGATGTGCGCCGGCCGTGCGCCGGGCTGCGCCTGTGGCTGGTGAGTGGCACTGCTGAGCAGCCACGTGCTGGATTCAACAAGCTGCCATTGCTGCAGCTGCCCCCAGAATGGCTCTCTTCCGGTTAGTGCAGCCCTTGGTCTCCGACCAACCCACGATGGCTAGGGCGCGTCTGTATCTGAGACGGGTTAGACAATCGTGTAGATCTCTTTCATCGATGGCAGGCTGTCTTGATCATGTGCTGTGTTAGATCACGGTACCGTGCTAGAAGAAGCACACGCTAGATGTCTGTGACAAGATATACGATCGCTTGCGATGCTTTTAGATGGTGTCCAGGCGTGGATCTTGTTACTGTGCACCAGCGCTGAGTGACAGCTCTGATGCCGGGCGTCACCAGGCCTCGCCCAGGCGGCGCTGGCTCCCATGGAGCTTAGATGCCGCGCACAAATGGGGGTGCCATGGCAGTCATCAAGAAGTCACCAAAACATGGTAAGCTGGATAGTCTATCATGTACCATGGGCAGCCACAATTCAGCTCTAGCGTAGTGATGTCACTGCAAAGGTAGGTTGAATGCAACCACGCACTACTACTGATATGCGTGCGGCACCATGTACCGAGTGCAGTGCAGCAAGAGGAGGCCGTGGGAAACCCATTGTGTCAGCGAACAAGCATTCGTTTGCAAGGAAGTGACAGTGACACCATTACGAGTGGAGAAGGAGCACTGACATCAAGAATGGCCGCCCCGTCCCGAAGGAGTGCAGCTGCTGCGCTGGTTGATCCGTCCTTGCAAAGAGCCAGCTGGCACACAAGCCGCCCTCCTTTACTTCTTCTTGGGAGCTGCAAAGAAGCTGCTGATCTTGCGCGTGCCCTCCGCCTGCTTCGCCAGCCGCACCGCCTTGGCCTCGGCGCGCCCCTCCTCCATCTTGCGCCGCGCGGCCTCCTTCGGGTCGAGCGCCACCTGCACAACCGGCACCAGCAGGGTGAGGCGCATCACGTGGTTTTGGGCCTCAGCAGCTGCTGGCGGTCTCGTGCAACCAGCGACTGCGCATCACGTGGTAGCCGAAGCATGACCACCAACCTTGCTTGCTCTCGACCTGCGTGAGCGTGAAGTTCCACACACATCACAAATAAAAGTGCACGCGTTCAACCCACACCTTGCGCGCCTTGTCCTTGGGCGCCGACGCGTCTTCAAATGGCTGCCCTGGCGCCGTTGATGGCGTGGGAGCCTGCCGCACGGCTGGCGTGGCGCTGCTTGTGCCTGCACGGCAGGGCGGCGCCAGGGTTGCGCGAAACAATGGTGATTGCACAGCTAGCCATGAAATTTGGCCGCAGGCGGCCTCAGTTTAAGCGGCGCCTGATGCCGAATCAGGCCCCGTCAAACAAGTATCCCTAAGCAACACACGTACACAAGCAAACGGCGCCCATCGCACCTGCGGGCTGCAGCTGGCATGCCTCTGCCAGCTGCGCCAGCCGCGGCGGCGACAGGTACTCCCCCATGAAGCCCAGCGCGTACGCGCGCGCGCCGTCGCCCTGCAGGCCAGCCACGCTGCCGGGCGCCGCCTCCCGCAGGCCAGCGAGCGTCTGGTCCAACTTGCAGCGCAGCCACGCGGCGACCTGGCGTGTTCGCGGCACAGGGGCGCAAGCATGATGGACCTCTGGCAAGGCGACACCTGGCGCGACCAGCAACAAAGCTACTCCACGCCAGCTCTGCCATCGGTGTGTGGCCACGTAACCAGCGGAGGAGGCCCAGAGCGGCCTGCCTGTGCAAACAGGTCAACTCACCCTGGCCTCAGTCAGTCGGTAGTAGCAGTCCTCGCCGCTGCCCTTGACGTCGCAGATCAGAGGCAGCGACCTGGCCGCCAGCGTCCCCAGGGCAGCGGCGCCCGGCCAGCTGCGTGCGAACACAGGAGCGGAGAGCATGAGCAACAGCCGGCGTGAGCTGCGCGCCATACATGCGAAACCGCCTTGCTCTTGGCCTGGATGATTACACTTGTGTGCGCGACACCCGCACTGCTGCGGTCTATCCGCACTCAACGCGCCGCTGGGTGGTGGTGCACCCACCTGTCCAAGCACAGCAGGCTGGAGGCCTCCTGGAACATTGAGGATGGGCCGCCGCCACTACCTCCACAGGCCTGCAATTGATGCAGCGCGATAAAATAGTGGACTCCTGCCCTGCCGCATGCATGCAGTCAGGTGCATCCATGGTTGTGCAGTCACATCTGAAGGTCCCGCGCCCTGGCTTGGTTGCAATGTGCGAGAGCGCTCGCCCTGCTGATGCAGCCAGCAGCGCACCTGCTGCTCCTGTTGCTTCCGCTTGTCCAGCAGCGCCAGCAGCACGTATGCCGGGTCGATGGGGCTGCAAAGGAAGCAGCTGCCATCTGCACAGCAGCAGGCGGTTCTTAAAACGCGGCGCATGGTGGCCTTGCCCCAAACACGTTTGAATGGCGCCTTGCTCACCTGCAAGCAACCTGTCGCCAACTAACCACGCGCCGTACTCTGACCGTACACGGTTTACTTCTAGCAGCCCGCCAGCACCTGGAAGCAGCACGAACTGCTGTGCCGCGCCAGTCGCGGGGCACGGCAGCTGCAGCAGCACAACTCGGTGCGCCGCACAGTCGCCACCCGGCGTGCTGCATTCAGCCGTGGGCTGCTGCTGATGCTGCTGATCACTTTCTTGAGATGGCTGCGGCGGTGCCAGGCCTGAGTGGAGGCAACAGGGAATGCGTACACGATAGCAGTGCCGGCGACAGCAGCAGCGCGCACGGTTTTGAACGCGACGCCCATCTTGGGACCTATCCCTCTCACTGCTGCTAACCCAATCATTGCAAACTGACCTTTGCCTATCAAGATCTTTGACATTGTGCCTGAAAAGGCTCTGCAACCGCTTCAAGCAAGACTCCCGCGCAATGAGATCGTCTTGCTGAAGCTCGGAAATTGCAATGTCTTGAAGAGGCGTAATACGCTGGAATATATATTGCCCTTCTGCTGTTGGAGACACTGCCTGCGTGCGTTTGCCGCTCGCAAATGTGCCTCCCTCACAACGTCACAAGCCCTCGTTGGCCTTGTCAGCATTGTCAGCACCGATAACCAAGCCAGTTGTCTTGCTTGCATTTATGTGACGATTGTCGCAATTGTGATTAGCAGCACTGTGATCCCACAGAGCCACCACCCACCCATCCCCCCGGCGTCGACCAGCCCTGTGCCTCGTGTGGCGATCCTTTTATTACAGACAGTGGTAGTTGTACAGCTGGCCCCTTCGGAGGGCACGCGGGTGTTCAAGAGGCGCGGTGGACGAGCCAAGCCCTGGCCTGAATATGGAGCTATCCGGCACGAGTTGAGACCAGCTAGACGCGACCTGGGATCCGCGGGGGAGCAGACGGCCCGCGCCCAGCGACAGGCTCGCCGCGGCGGCGCCTGCGGGGCGACCGCGGCCGGGCGGGCGGCGGTGGCACATGGAGGTGCACACGTTCCCGCGCACCGTGGACGAGATATTCGACGACTTCTGCCATCGGCGATACGGCTTGCAGCGGGCACTGACGGATGGTGGGTCGTGCGGCACGTCGTGACCCCCTCGCTGTGGCCCCATTGACGGCTAGGGTTGTTATGTCCTGGGCAGGCAGGACATGACTGGCCAGGATCCCATTCGGCGAGAAGTGACTCGCACCGCCGAGCGTTCCGATGACGAGCGTGCGTCGCCGCACGCAGCCCCTGAATTGGCACCCGACCCCCCGCCGCAGACGCGGACGCCCTTTTTGAGAAGTGCGATCCCGCCAGGGAAAACCTCTGCCTCTATGGTGCGTGCGCCTAGGGCCGCCGCCGGCGCCGGCGCGGCCGACGCGCATGCGTCCGTGCTGCTGCATTGCGGCCTTGCCACAGCTCGCCTCACCAGCACTCGGGCCGGCAGCGATCGCAGCAGACGCGGCGCCCTGCTCGCTCCAGGCGCCTGTGTCAGCCCCGCAGCCCCGCACCGAAGCGGCTCGCTACGCGCGTTACCCTCCCTGGCAGGCGACCGCGGCGGCAACTGGGCGGTCGAGCCGCCCGCGGAGGAGATCCCCGCAGAGCTGCCGGAGCCCTGCCTTGGCATAAACTTTGCGCGGGACGGCATGAGCCGGCGCGACTGGCTGGCTCTTGTGGCGGTGCACTCGGACGCCTGGCTCATGTCGGTGGCGTTTTTCTACGCCGTAAAACTCGACGCCAGCGGCCGCGCTCGGCTCTACCGTCAGCTGAACTCGCAGCCGACGCTGTTTGAGGTGGCCACCGGCCGTGCGCGCCCCTCGCCCGCGCCGCCCAAGGGCGGCGGCGGCGGCGAGCGCGCCGGCTGGCGGCACGGCGGCGCGAAGCGGAACGC